TATTTCGACCGAATCCTTTGGAGTTATGGGGAGATTTTTAGTGGTAATTGAAGAGGACATTGTGGGCTTTCCAACAGTATCCAAATTCGACGGTCTTGGTGGTCGGAAGTTAAAATGAAAATTGCCGTAAAACTCGCCCAAAAAATCTGAAAATTTAGTGGCCGTTAGTGAAAGAAATTTAAATTTCAGTGACCGTTTCTTCAAATTTTAAACTTCAGTGACCGTTTTGTGATTTTCAGGTAACTTCAGTGACCGTTTGTGAAATTAACCCATAATGTAATAATTAACACGTCAACATGATACACATCTTATGCTATCTTGGAATTCTCGAGTGCTACTGACTAACTCTTCTATGCATATGCATACGCCCATCCGCCACCATCGATCGACTGCCTCTCTTTTGCATATTTTCTGCAATATTTGGAGACTTCTTCAAAAATAAAATCAACGCTTCAATTATTAATGCCATTAATCTGTACTACTGCTATGGCTATAAAATGATTGGATTCGGATTCGGATTCGTATTCGGATAGATACATAAGTATAACTGACCGTCAATATGTCATTGGTTTTGTGTGGGAGATATTGCATCTGTACTACACGTATGGTCTTATTTTCGCTCTATCTAGGTTAATTTTCGACAAGTTAGTGGGACAGAGATCATTTCACGTAATTCTTGAGCATCAAGTAATGGTTTCGCTATTTGCTTCCATCTTCACTACAATTGGCGTCATCGTGAACAATGACCTCCAATGGATGGCGACTGAGGCAAAAACATTTTAAGGTCGTCGAATTTCGTATTTGTTAGATTTTTAGTTGTATTAGCAATTTTTTAGACAGAAGGATTATTGTAAAAAAATAGGATTGTTACAGAAAGTTGTAAAAGTCTAGAAGTATTTTAGAGTATTGTATAAATGAATTAGAAGTCTTTGGGTTCGAGTACGGAACAAGAAGAAAAAGTTGTCGGATTTACGCTAGTCTTTTGCTTAGCTGATGTTCGAGAGTCCAAAGCAGAATCATTATCGTTCGCCTGTCAATCTAGATTAACTTATAGTGGATACTATTGGCTTGGTCCCGAATTTTTTTACCCAATTAAGAGTTTTCTCCGTCATCAAATCTTGTATTTTTTCCTACTTTAATTATTTATTGCGACAATTCAATATAGGATAACTTGACTTGATTGACTAATATCTAGAACAATTAAAAATGACTTGTTGCTTCTAATTGATAAATTTAATTTCGTGTTATTCACTTATTAGATAATTTTAGAATTAAACTAATAACTTTCAGAATTTCTCAGTTCTCAGTTGGGGAGTCGTTACTTGCCAGTTTGGGTTTCTTGGAGGCCAAAAATCTATAATTAAGTACTTCGTCTTTGAAAATTCTTGAGGCAAATCAAATGATACAAAAACATATTGATTTGTTCATCCATCAAACTTGCAGTGATTATGCTGTAATTATCTTATCTTCCATAAAATCCTCGGTTAAATTTCCGCTGTTTGAAGGCAAAAAAAGCAGAGGGGAAGGGAAAATGCAAATAAGTAAAAAGGGACGTTCAGAAACTCATGCATGCATTCCGCTCATATACTAAAATACTAGTACAAGTGTATAACATAAGACTGCAAATTCAGATACTTAGTACCTTAGTGACATCACTAATATATATAATAACCCAAAACTCGGGTGTTCTGACCAAAAC